TAGAAAAGGACCAGTTAAATCACTATTGTGTGGAAAGTGTTGGCTGTACAGGAAGGCAGGTTCTCTTTTATAATTTTTGTTTCCAAAGAAAGTATCTCACCTAATCTTTCTAAGTTACCATTTTCTGGTTAAAACTTGATATTGTAAAAAAAACAGAGTAAAAATACATAATGGCTTAAAATAAGGAAAGTTGTTCTGTAACTACTGAAAGTGTATGGACCCTATCCACTAGTGATCTTGTGCCAGATTTTGCTTTCTATTTTTATTTTCCTTAAAAAGCACCAGGAGTCCTTTGAGGGACACAGTGTCTTATGTCGTATGTCAGGGAAAAAATCAGGATGACTCAAAACCCTACTGTTGTAACAAAGCAAGAACTATCATAACTGTCATAACTATCATAACTGTCAAACTGTCATAACTGTCAGGAGAAATATTTTTGAAGAACAACAAGCAGGGCTTTGTGGCACACACCTGCACTCTGGGTAACTGGGGCAAGAAGACCACAAGTTCAAGCCCAGCCTGAGCAACTTAGCAACTTGATTCAAAAAACACTTTTAAGGGGCCGGAGATTTAGCTCAGTGGCTTGCCTGCCTTGGCAAGCATGAGGTTGTGGTTCGATCCCCGGTACCAAAACAAAAACAAATAAAAAAAGTTTTTTAAAAATTGTTACTGTATTTACTATGAATTTGTGTCATGTCATGAAGAAATCCTAAGCAAGTTTCCATGTAGATCCCATTTTTATTTACGTCCCGCGTATAAAAAAGGAACACTTAAAGACATAGAATTTCACTGTGCTTCTGATGTTTCTCCAAACTTCCCAGGCAAACAGAAAATCGTTGTCTTGCCTTTGGAGCCTTTGAGCAATGTTTTGCTGTGGAGAGGCACACGAGAAGAGGTTGCCAGGTTGTTTGCACAGGCCGGGCGATGTAGAGTGGTCTCTGTACTGCATTCGGCTCTCCATGCCTGGATCACTGCCAAACTCAGAAGTTTCCCAGAAAGACAAAAAGTAAGAAGCTCACCAAACACTCAGACTTTAATTTGCTTCTTGAAATGCCAGGTTATTTTGTTTTTCTACCAGAAATTGTTGCTCTTCCTCTGACCTCACAGACTCTGCATTGTAGTCTTACACTTGGTAACAACTTTCCCTGAACTTCATCAATTCAGTTCAGCAAATATTTCTTAAAACGTGCCGGGTGGTGCCAGGTACAGGGAACACGGTGGTATTCACGACGCAGTTCTGTCCTTAGTAATCACCGTGTCTTAGGTGGCACAGGGAAGCTGCCCTGAAAACCCAGGGGTTGAGCAACCTTCATGCTTGGAGCTCCAGGTGCCCAGGCTCCCCTCTGAAGGACCCTTTGCTCCCATTGTTAGCTTTTGCAAATGGGAAGAGAAAGAGGGGCTGAAGGGTGGGAAGAAGAATGGAGAAAAAAGAGAATTAAGATATGTTATGTAGTGGCGTAAATTCCATGTGATGAATATGATCAATATGTATGACAAATAAAATAAAAATACAGTACTAATACAACTGAAGAAAGGACCATTTGCTGAGAGTAAGGCCATGAATAAGTTCTTTAGCCTCTTTGCAAATCAGTTTATTCATCGGTACAAAGGACATAAAACTGTACACTGTATAGTGTATATATATGTGTGTACATATATATGTGTGCATATCTATATACACTATACATGGGGATATATGATCCATATATATTACCAAAAAAAACCAGTTTTTAAAAAGGGCTCAGTGTGAGGCCCAGGATTCAATACCCAGCACTGGACAAAACAGACAAAAACAGGGGAGAGAGCTTAAATTAGCACCTCTACTGGCCAACCCAGTATTCTGAATGCCTACAAAGAAAAACAAAAATATGCTGAGAATTACATTACAGAGAAAAAGCAGTGGCTATCTATACAAGAAATAATAAATATAGGCAGTCATAAAACTAGAAAAAGAGTATTGATGACCATCAGTGGTCACATACAGCAACCAAGTTAAAAAAAAAAAAAAAGAAGAGGCCCGTGCATTCTGCACAAGAACAATGAAAGAAATCCCAACAGTACGTCCAAGACAACACTCAAAATATCCCCAAGGAAATTTGCCATGTGGACTCAATGACCCTTAGACAAAATCTCGCAATGACTCTCCTGGCACCCGTTCAATGCCAATGGCCCATCTGTATTTCAACTTCTCTGTATTTAGTTCTTGTTGCATTGACATTTATAGACATTCTGTATGTAAGCTAAGTATTATTCATTTGTTGCTATCTGCATAATGCATTGTAGTCTGAGACACTGATGAGGCACATAAAGTTTTCAACAATGCCAATGAACGAGATGAATATATCACAAAGGCAGAGCAGTGTGTAGGTAACACTGGCCACGCAAAATGGAAGTTTCTACCATTTCTGGGAAGGACACCAAGTGTCACAAAAATAAAATATATGGTGCAGTATTTAAAAATCATGACAACTCTGTGAGGCAGTGCCATTCATGGACTGCGGGGTGTGGGGAGAGAGAACCAGGCCCCATTAGGAGGTGATCCCCACCTGGAAACTAGCGCCATGCTCCGGCAGCTGCCGGAGTGGGGACAGCCAGACCCCAGCCTCTCCGAGAGTCAGCGCCATTCTTGGACTGTGGAGGGAGAGAACCAGGGTTAATTAGGTGATCCCTGCCCAGAAACCATACCATTCTGTTTTCTTGGGTTGGATTTTATTCTCTTTTGATTGTTAAATCTGATGGCATGAGCAGTTACTTAAAAGACAGCAAGACATATTACGGTAGCCACTCTGTATTTACTATTAGCTTATTTTGAAGCCCTTTACTGCATTCATTGTTTTGTTTTTAGTTTCTATTCTATTCTGTTCTGTTCAATTTTTACTATGTCCAAAGTTATCTCATTATGGTAACTACTGCTGATTTTGTAAGGTTTTGAAGTTCCGTATCACTTACATTGGTTTATTTTGGTTTTGTTTTATTGTCCTTGGTTTTATCCTCTTTAAAATAAAATTTTTTAAAAATCCCATGACAAAGCAAGTTAAGAATTATTAAAAAGGACTTGGTCTGAGGCCTGTGACTCATGACTGAAAGAACTTGGATCACAGCCTAGCCATGTCAAACAAGAACCATCACCCAGATCTGACTCCTTCAGTTACTCTAAGAAAGCATTTCTTTTCCGTTAGGCTTCATTAGATTTCTACAAGCCCAGGAAAAAGGGTATAACAAAGCCTTTAGGAGGATACTGTATTAGTTAGCTTTTCATCGCTCAGACAAAATATTTAATATGCACAATTATAGGAGGAAAAGTGTATCTGACTTATGGTTCTAGACGGTTCAGTCTGTGGTCAGACAGTTTCACTGCTTTTAGGTCTGTGCAGAGCAGAAACATCTTGGTGGCAGGGCATGGTAGAAACAGTTGTTCACCTCATTGCAACCAGGAAATAGGGAAGGAGCCAGAGAGGCAGAGACATACACCCTTCGAAAGTACATCCCCAGTGACCCACCTCCTCCAACTGGGCTCCACCTTCCAACAGCCCATTCTGCTAATGAAGTCACCCAGTGATGGTATCAGTACCCTTGTGATCCAATCACCTCTCTGACCCCACCCCCAAAGACTGCTGCACTGGGAGACTGAACCTTCAATATATGAGTCTCTGGGCATGCTTCATATTTAAATATGAAAATTTAAAGGGGCCATAGTTATAGAAAGTAACTTTTAAGTGTAAAAATAATGGACATTAAGGCTTGATATTAAAAAGTTTCATGTAAATTATTTTAAAATGTACTGATTATTTTATTCAAGTACAGCTCGCATACTGCTTAAGAAGTTCGAAAGGTTCTAATCAGTCACAACTAGTCTGTAAATTTGGTCATTGGAGGCAATTCACTTAAATTTATAATACATGTTTAATGCTCAAAGAAAAATTGTAGTTTCCTTCCTAATTCAGTCAAAAAAAAAAAAAAACCCAAAAAACCCTGGACAAAGCCTGAATGAAGAACATGGCTGAGAAAGGTCAGAGGACTGGTAATACACAGGAGAGTAGAGGAAGAAAACAGCTCAAGAGGAGGAGGTGTGGCAGCTAGATTTTCACAGCTGAAAAGGAAGCTTCAGCTATGGAATGACGACAAGAAGGATGTGCCACTAAGAGTATGGATGTGAATGCAGAGTGTTCAGTAAGCAAAGATACCAAAGTTAAGTATCATAGGTATAAATGCGCACATACGTAGGTATACTTCACACACACACCCACACATCTTGAGAGGGCAGGGTGCAGCAACACTAGTAGCAGTGAGCATACATTCAATCAGTGCTGCTTCCCCCTCCCCACTCTGGTTGGGAATTAACATCTTGCTAGAAAATCTAGGAGGAATGGGGAGATATTCAAAACATCCCCATTGTCAATCAGACCTCATTTTCTCATGAGGAAATACAAAGTAGAAATTGTGACTGTGAAGCTAGCTCATAAAGATTTCATTTCTCCTATGAAATAAAATACTTCCATGTGTTTTAGTAGCTGACAGTATTGTTTCTTTCATTTGTAGCATTTTAAAACTTATTACTCTAATTTCCCTTTCTTCAACTCTATTACTGCTATAACACACACACACACACACACACACACACACACACACACACACGTGTGCGCATGCACGTGTCCAATTAAATGGCACCTTGGTAAAGTGATTATTCCAAGGGTGTAGCTACTGTTCACAACCATCTTCTGTGTTGGTTCTAGGGTTTGTGGTGTAACCTATGTGACAGCTTTTCATGCTCCAAAGTAGACTTTAAAAAAGACATAATCATCGAATAAAGAAACTGGAACGTCCACTTACTTGCTCCATTAATATCTTAGCGTGGACTGTCTGGTGGGTGAACTGTCAGCCTCGATAGACACAAGGTGATAGCAGGGTGTTCCTGGCCGGAGGGAAGCTGGTGAAGCACACCCATTCAGGACTACACTACCCAAAGGGACGTGCATCCTAAACAGATCAGACAAACGTGGTTGCATGGTCCAAGCATGTGGTGATTTTTATTAAGAATAACTTTGGTTCTAAGAATTCCAACCTCAATTTTTTAATACTTTCCATTAAAAACAATTATACAAGAGCAAATACAAAAAATATTAAATTATGAAAACAAATCCATTAAGGCTCCCTTTATATATATTATATACACTCAAACAAGGCAAGATTTTTCAGAGTAGAAGAATAAAGTCAACTGTTATAGCTTATAAAGCAATTCTATTTTACTATGAGGAAACTACAAAATACTCAACTATTTTAAGAAAACCACAAAGTGGAAAAGTGGAGCCATTTTTGTGGGAAAAAAAAAAGTGGCTCACAGCACAGGACTGTGCAGAGGTTCCCGAGTCCATAGGCCTGGGCAGGACAGTGTGGAGGAGAGACAGACCACTGGTCAAGCTCCAGCCTGTGAGTCAGCTGACCAGACTTCAGAGAACTTCACCACCTGCACCTCTGCTGCTGAGCATAGCCCATCACTTTATGTTATTTACAAGTCTTCTTTTGGCTGGACCTTGTAGTACTAACCACAAATAACTGCAAACTTATCTGCAATTAGGAGAGAATGCTTTTTTAAATTAACTTTTACCCAGTGATGAATGAATTCTAGAGAAGTTTTAGGCATAGAACTTATACTTCTTTAGGAGCCTGCTAGGTCCCTTGAGAATTCTGTCAAGTGGCAAAACTGCTTCAAGGCCACAGATCAAAGTCTCGTTAGACCAAACATTTTGAGCCAGGCCAAATTTAGACTTTATCAACCACACTATCAGTTCACATACACAAGGAAACATGCAATCAGACATGTTCTTTCAAGATCATCAGTTACTGTACTTTGTTCTCTCAAAAGAATGGTGAAAAAGTCACCACTCCAACCTTTGAAAGGAAACTATTATAGAGCAGTATTTTATCTTAAGCATCTTGTATTTTATTCAAATAACACTTGCTGATGACACAAATAATCCATTTCAGGTGTAACCAACCAACATTTTTTAGCTGTGTATCAGCCTCCACTTACTCTTATCTTGCTCACATTAGAGTTGAGTATGAGCCTGTCAGCTGCTACAACAGCACTCAGACAGAAAGCTAATGGGTACTGTGCTAACAGAGGGTTGCAAAGCTCTGGTTCAACTCTCTATTGTCACTAGAGGAAGTGTAAGAATAGTCCTCAATTTAGAAGTTACTGGCTGAGCCATCTCTATGAAGAATGCACTAAATCCACAAACACCAGCAGTATAAAGTTACTTTTGCATGAGAACTGTGTTGTTCTTGTAACTTGGATGCCCTCTGAGAAGCACATTAGCAAGCATGAGGAGGCCAAGCCAGCCCACACTGCTCCTCAATTTTCCTGAGAGATGCGGTAATACAGTAGTCATCAACATCACCCCTCTCAACAGCATGGGCTGAGAGGGTAGCAGAAGTCTTTCTGCACAAGGGAAAAACAGTAAGGAAATATGTTACCATTGATCAGAAATTATCCAAGTTTGGATTCTACTAATATTAAAGCGTACAACTGTTGTAGAATCTTCCCATGAAGCTCCTCACGGACAGCGCCCTACACCAGGCCCTCTACTTCTGAAACTGAAATGGGTTATACAGACTATTTCCCTTTTCTAAAGGATTGCAGAATCACTTCATCTGGAAGGACTTGCTCAGCACAGTTTAAGCATGAAGCTGCAGAGAAATCCCACTGCTTCTCACAGCGATACAAGAACCTGCGTATGGTGCTTTCCTAGATGTAGACCACCGCCAGGTCCACAATGCCACACACAGTCAAGAGGGAGGAAGAAGATGGAACCTTGCATATTCCCAATGCTTCTTACCATATTTCTGGATTTTAGTGCCTACAAAGACAATAGCTGTGCTCAACCCAATGCTACGTTCCCTGCTACTAATTCTAACATGGGTAGAATTATAAATTAAACAAAATTTTGGATTCTTGAAATTTACAAGTATTGGCTATGACAGATTAAATGCATTTCTATGCAATCCAAGTTATCTAACAGATAACCATGAGAAGAATTAATCGTCTTTTCTTTAACTTTCAAAGAAAAAGTCACTGTGTCCTACAAAATTTGAACTGGAAGAAAACTGAGTAGTGCAACTCTTAAGAACTTATTCCAGTGTCCTCTTCTTATTTCTTCTTGTTTTGTTCTGCTTAAAATCTTTGAATGCAGGTCCATTATTCCAACGTAAGTACTGGTCAATGTCCTTCATTTGGCGAATGGGAACTGCAACTTGTCACAGACAATTCCCCCACCCAGACTGTAGGAAAGCACATAAACCCCCTCTAGGTAAGCTTCCTAGCTGGCTGCAGTTTTCTCAGGGGCTCTGGCCCTGAGACCAGTGCGGAAAAGCACTCAGACACAGCTCTTGCAGTGATGGTGGCATGTGTCAGGCTTCCAGGCAGCCTTGGCCTAGGACTCCTGGGCTTGGGCTATCTCCTGGCCTGTTCTCCTGAGGTTGCCTTTCACCTTCACAAACTCTGGTGCATTTTCTTGCTCTTCTTGCAATTTCTGCTTCTCAAGTTCAAGCTAAAGGAATTCAAAAACAGGAAAATTATAATCTGAGAGATTTGTCAAACTACTCCTCTCTTTCCAATAGGAAATTCTCTCTTCATCTTGCACTTCAGAAAGAAAAAAAAGTGTGTGTGTGTATGTGCGTGTCTGTGTGTGTGTGTGTGTGTGTGTGTGTGTGTGTGTGTGTGTCTGTGTGTGTGTGTGTGTGTGTGTGTGTGTCTGTGTGTCTGTGTCTGTATCTAGGGGTCCTGCATACAAGCAGGAGCCAACAGGTTGTTACTACAAACACTAACAGGAGAGGGCAAGAATGACAAAGTTAAAATTAGGAAAATAAAATCCTAAGACCAACACACAGTTGCTCTAGAGTCTTAGTGAATTACTCTGATGCTCTGTGAATTCAGTGATTCTTTTTCTGATTTTGCTTTTGCCTCCAGCATTTCTTTCAGATTCTCAATAGTATTCTTGCCTGCCTTGAATGCAATTTATGCCATGTATTGCATCTGGCTTCTTATTCTTTCAGAGTATGATCCTTTACATTTGCTTTGTCTAGGAAATTCTGCCCGCTCCAACATCCCCAACTGATTGTCTGCCCATTATGCCTACCTGCTCCAACTTCTGCTGCCGCTTTAACAGTTCAATTTCCAAGTCAGATTTCTTCTTCTGCGCTTCTTCTTCCTTCTGTTTTATGACTTGGTCTCGTTTTCTCTTTTCCATCACCTTCTGCAATTCTGGTTTATTCTGAGGCGCAAGACCCCTATAAAAAGAGAATTAAGATAAATAAAAACTGAGCAAATGGATGCATCTTTCATGAATATAAATATAACTGAAGGGATCAGCCACAGAAAAGGTATCTATGGAATTAGTACAATTGTGACAACTACCAAACAACACTTGAAAACTCAGTGACATGGAAGAAAGTAGAAGTGCATTTTCTGAGAAGTTGGTAAAATCCATTCACTCAGTAAAAAGACATGGAGCATTACTGTTTTGGAGGCACTAGACTCACAAGGTGGGTGGAGGGTGGAGGATGCGTGGGCCAGGTGAGGAGCAGGATACACACCACAGAGAGGTGATGCTCAGGACATGAGTGGCTCCACCTAGAGTCCCGGGGAGGATGCCCAGGAAACAGCCCTGGAAACCTCATCCTACCCTTCATTTTTCAGATATGAAAGAGGGTCCTTAAAACCAAGGGTATGTCATTCCCGTGGGGCACAGCCTCACAGCCCGCTAATCTCCTAACTGCCAATCCAGGGCTCTTTCCACCACATGGTCTTAGACATAGTTCATCACTTACAAAACATGGAAGTCGGGCTTCTGGGAAAGTCTTCGGTTCTGAGAGAAGCTGGGCAGCCCATTTGTCAACAGGGAGAACAAGGCAAAAACAGGCCTGCACTAGCAGCCTGCAGTGTATGCAGGAAGTCGAGGGAAAGGCCAGCATTTTAAGGTCAGCTTGGGCTCCCCTTTGCTGCAGTCCCCTGGTCATTTCTTTAGTCCTTTTGCCCAGGCTTTCCAGGATGCTGGATGGACCCTCCCATCTCTTCTGTATTGTCTCCCATAATTATTAACTCTGTTCAGACTACATCAGCCATAATTAATTTCAACTTGATGGTGAAGTTTATCAGAGGCATTTAAAATAAAAATGGAACCACCCCAGAATGAAAACCATGCTGTGGACACAGAGCGCCACGGGGTACAAGTAGGGGCCATGTGCACACATGGGAGACCAATGGCACTCCTGGACCCAACGGTGACCCGCATGGCCTCAGTACAGCTCCCACGCACCTGCACCTCTGTGTCTTGCCTGGGCCACGATGGACGTGTGCGGTGGTACAATCCTTGCTATGCTGATTGACACACATGACTCGCTCACCAGGAAGCAGCTCAACAACTGTTTGATCAAAGAGTAATTTCCAAAACTTGTGCTCTGCTTACAAGAAGTTCAATCACACCTATCTAGATGCCTTTCAAAGTCACATGATCCTACCTGTAAACTACTCCTCCATTTTACACTTCCTCAGTAACACAGAAGTATTTTAAATTCTGGTATCTCTTCTTTCTAGATGTTTTTAAGAATCCATGATTTAAACTGTTTTCAAAACTGTTTACAAAGCAGAGATTAGTACATTTACCCTCTGATGAGAAAAAAACCAGACTGTCAGAATAACATAACGTCTTCACTTTCCTGATGTTCAATAGCAGAATTTTTGGTTAAAAATAAATTTGGTCAAGTTGGTCCTCTTTTGGTCCAGTGACGCAAGGAGGTAGGTGACTTTTATGATTCAATTATGGCTTGCTTTGCAGTTATCAAGACCATAAAAAGGTACAAAAGTACAAATGAAATTGTCTGGAAATTAAAATTTTAATCAGCACCATAAAATCTATGAATAAGTACTCTAACTGTTCAGTTAAAAGTGCCATTAACCACATGAAAGTTTGTTTTTAAATAATCTGAATAAAGACTTTGATTTCATGAGTATTAAAAATCTTCAGTATGGCACTACCGACAGAATTCAGGGAATTAAATTTTAAAAGCAAGAATTTAGTTCTTTAAATAATTTAAATTTCAAACATTTTTCCTTCTCTACATTTCACTGGCAAAATTAACTTCAACTACTATTAAATTCTCCTGGATTCTGCAAAGCCGCATACTTTTGATTTATGACACATTAAGCTGATATTCTACTGCAGTAAATCAATGGGCTTAACTACTACACAGTATTCATTTTCTGTACCAAAATTTCACATAATAGCGACAGTGAGATAAAATATTTAAGAACATAAAACTCAAGAAAATGGTGTTTCTATGAAAAATAATCTATACTTGTAGCAGTCAAGAAATCATACATATTAAGTAAATATTTTATCACGGTGGATCAGTTAATTTCTGTGCTGCACTGGAGAAGCTAATCATGAACAGTACAGCTCTCTGCAGTCCACAGCAGCCCAGACTGTAGACACAGTGTCCGCAGACAGGAGTGAGCTTCTTTAGGTTTCTCAAATAACCACAATATTAGCACTTGTGCAGAGCACCTGATTCTCTCCAGCTGATTTTAACATATATATTAATGATTCCTGACGGGTGATCAAGTCCTGGTAGTTTCCTATTCCCCAAGACCCGGGAATTCCCAAGTTTGCTTCATAGTCAGGGAGCTACCTGTGACACTGCAGTGGGCCAAGCCAATCTTAAGCATGGAATTAATAAATACTCATGCGATAAAAATAAAATCAGGTGGTTATCCATATTTGTGAATGATGAGATCATTGTCCACAGTGCATCCTATCCAGCAATGGTCCCGACAGAGGCCGCATGCCCGCACTAAGACAATGAGTCTGGCCCATGTTCCTCTCCTTCTCATCTGCACAATATCTCACAGTGCAGAAATCCAGTAATTCTGCCTTCTCCCTATTGAGAGGCCTTTGCTTCCAACTGTTTGCTATTAAAATCAAGGAACCTCTGTGTACACTGACAAGTTGCTCTTGCACTAGAAATTCTGCTGGCTATAGCCACAGAAGCTGGACTTCCAGAGCCCTCCAGAATTTCCATCCCAATCACCAGTGTGTGAAATGTGCAGCCTTGAAGGCAATGTTTCATGTGATGCACAAACAATGGAGCACACGCAGGGGTTCCTGGAAAGGATCACACTCCTTCCGTCTCTACCTGAACACCAAACATTGAAAGCCCTAGGTACGAGGCTGACTCCTCACCTGAGATAGCAGCAGTGAGGATGGTCCGGTGCTCAGCTCATCACAGAATACACTCACCATATGGCCAAACCTCTCCCTTCCCTGACCTTTAGGAGGGTGGGGTCAAAAGGATGGATGCATTTGGATTTCAGGCTTCAGTTTTGAATTCTGAAACCTTCTAGTTTGGCCTGAATAACTTGTATTTTTGGCTTAGCCACTTTTACCTGTATGGGTTCAAACAGATACTTCTATCCAGTACCACTACAACTTCCCTTGTCTGTCTCTATTGTCTGGTTCAATATTTTTGAAAAACTATTTATTTACTATGGCATTTCAAAAGGTCAACTGAAAACACGGGGATCTACAAGAACACTGAATTAGAAATGTACAAGCCAAAGAACAAATTTTATGGATGTGTTTAAGCAACTAGCCTTCTTATAAAAAGATTCACCCTTTACAGAGGCTAGACTCTCTCAATGGTGAAAATATTATTGTCTTAAACATTTTTTCAATATGAATTTCAACTACCAAAACTTAATGTTTCTAAATGCCATTTGAAATTAGACAGTTTACGCTGCTGAAAAGGTATATGAAAAATGAGAACCAGACAAAGAACCTTAACACTCAGAGCTGTGGCTAACTATAATCAAGCAGACATCCAAGACTTTTAACATGAAACCTAGCCAGATCCAAAAAGTGATGACAGAGGAGCAAGTGTACTCTAGCAGGAACGTGAGATCCAAGCCAGAAGGTCTATCAATGTTTGCCCTCCTTAGCAGGAACTGCTTTTATCTGAAGAGTAACTTGGAAAACAACAAAACTGCTGCAGAACTGGAGCCAAATGTGCGGTTGTGCAGAGCAAAGGTCAAGCCTCCAGAAAGCTGGCTGTGTGGGGTCCCTTCCTCCTCCCTCACTTCCCCGCTTCATTTTCTAATTTGTACTGCTACTATAGTTACCTCTATAAATTGCTTTCATTCTGTGTTTATTTCTGTCTTTATTCCAGAAAAAGTTGCTGTATGACCTCAAGGAAATTCCTCAATCTATTCTGAATTTTCCATAACTCACATTTCAAGGTGGGACAATTCCAAGAAACATGCTGGGTTACGGGGAAGATCGTGGGTTAGATGTAACATGCATGAACCCCTTACACACAATAGCAACACAACACTTTCATTACTGCACAAAGCAGAACTCAAGACTGGTTATACTGAGCCAAACGCGCCTGTTATTGTGTGATGTAATTTATTTGACACCAAGGTTTAGAAACAAAAAACTAACATCTAAAAAGTATAGTATATGAAAAACAAAAAGAAAAGAAACTGCTTGAGAAGTTTTCACCCTAAAACTAGTTGTATTTCTCACAAAGATTTTATCAAACTAAGATTTTGTCTTGAAAAACCTGTTTATGCCTTCAATATAGAATGACATACATTCATCTTTTTTGACTTTGACATTTGCTTTTTCTTTTCTTCCTTTCAAAATGTACTTCCAGATAGACTAAAGTCTTTCTAAGAAAAGACATACCAAAATTTCCCAGTGATGCACACGGAAAGTAAAAGACAAGTGGGCCTGATGGATTGCTCCCATGCCAGCAGTTTTGGTCCATGCTATCAATTTTATAAGAATGATTTGACTTTTTCCCACTTTATAGATGAAGAAACAGATCTCAAGAAGGGTGCCTCAGTAAAGATCAGAAGGCAGGTCAATTTAAGTGAGCCTGGATTTGTGTCCTTTCTGTAATATTAAGGGGGACACCACAGTGTTGGTGAACCTTTTACAGACTGAGTGCCCAAACTGCACCCCCAAGCCCTCTTACTTATCACCAAGTGCTTGGTCGCTGGGACGACTTGGCTCCCATGCTGACCAAGGGGCTTGTATGCTGGCTGTAGCATGTGTGCCATAGGCTGCCACATCCTTTCTGCACCATGATACTTAAGACATTCTCTCTGTTTTCCCAGATTTGTAGAGCTGGCCCTGTCTGAAGTGTTCAACATGTAAGTAAAGGAAAGAAAAAATGGGACACAGAAAGGCAGACAGGGAGAAAAAGGCCCTCTGCTAGAAAATTTGGCAACAGATTCAATTACACAAATCTGTATGTTCTATAGTGATATAATCCATGTTATTAATTATATTTTTGTAGAATAATTTGTAACCTAGAATTCAAAGAACATATATTCCACAAAATTTGGTTTGATTTTAGCCTTTACTCTGATTTGGAGCTTTTCTGTACATTTCACCAGCAGGGACAGTCTGAGTTAAAATGGTGCTGAAGTTCTACTCGGCGGGCCCACTGATAAGACCATGGTGGTTCACTGGAAGTCAGAAAACCCGTAAGTCACAGCTGCTTCTGTTTGGTCTCTTCTACACCAATGCGGACATCATTTGTTGAATTTTGACTGCTTCTCAATTCTGAAGTCTATTTAAGAAAGTATACTGGCTTGCTTTGCTTTGGACATGAGAATACCAAATCCACATATTCTTTTTTCTATTATTCAACAAAGACAGGTAGAAACTAAATCATTAAAATGATTAAACTCTCATTAAATTTAATAAATGTTAATCTAACATCACCCTAGTGCTAGGAACAAGTACGATGCCCCACGCCCCCCATTCTAGAAGGAGAGAAGCACTTACAAAGAATTCCTAGGCCATGAGTCATTAAACCTGTTAGTTCTGGAAGCCAGGAATGTGCTCTGGAGAGGGGACCTGCCTTGAAAATACCCCAATCCTTTTTTATTTTAAGATTTTTAATCTTCTCAAGACTGCACAATAGGGATATAAGTAAACCCAGGATTTAAGGCAGATTGTAGAGATAAATGAGAAAAACATAAGTTAGAAAAGGGTGAGGGAATGAAAGGAAGAATGAGACCAACACAGTCATTCTCTGGATACCTCACCTCTGCTCTGCAGAGTCACAAATTTGGTTTCTAAAAGCTGCCCCCCCCCAAAAAAAAAAGAAAGGGACTGGGGATTTAGCTCAGTGGCATAAGCGCCTGCCTGGCAAGTGTGAGGTCATGAGTTCAATCCCTGGTACCGCAAAAAAAAAAAAAAAAAAAGCTTCCCCAATACTTAACTTGTCTGTGAGTCCTGAACCTTTCCAACAGGGCTTAGCATGAGTTCTACAGTCCTTAAACATGAGTTCAGCTGCCTTAAACAAAGGACTGGCCTTGCACCCTCAGCTCCTGGCTCATGCCAGCTCCACTCACTGCTGAACCACCTGACCCAGCATCCCAAGTATGCACGGCACCGAAGGGATAACAATGGCTTGCCAAGGAGACAGGCTGGATGTTGTACCCCTTTTTAGAAATTTAATAAACATGGTGACAATAATATTAACTTAAATTGTACTTTAACAGCAAACCAACAGAAACACAGGGAAGAGCAATTATCCATTATATCTAAAATGGTTCTAGTGACTCTGCCCTGCCACTTACAAATGCAAACACATGCATAACTTACATTTGAGCCCTGCATTTCTCCATGCAAAATGAGGAAATTCAAAGGTACTGAATTTAAGAAATAAATTCCTCTACCATTTTGCAGGGGACACTGAGACACAGTGCTGAGGGCTGTGCTGGAGGGACCAGCCCGCTGGAGGAAGCTCTCACCACAGTCAAACGGCAAAAGACTCTTCAAAACACTGTCAACACAACTAAAATTAATCATAGCTATCTTAAAAATCCCCAAAGGAAAACTATGTTCAAGAAAGCTCCTTACCTTTTTTGATTCATAAGGAGTTCTCTGTGAAGATCCTGGTGATTCCGGGATGTTTTGACAGGGTTGACCAATTTCTGGGGTCTAATCAGCTCAGGATTGTCATCATCCAAGTAGTCTGGCTCAGCCATGATGTGTCTTGGTGTGAGGGATGAGTCCTGGGGGTCACTGTCCTCAAGTGGGCTATCTGAAGTGGATAAAGGAGAGATGCTTATAATGAGATCTGTTCTGCATGCCCTCACACAGGTACAGAGGGTGTGCTACTCCAGAAGCCTGGGAGGTGCCACCTCCAGGTCTACTTCAGGGACATCACTGAGGGGTCTTCCCCAGTATTCAGAAAGTAACTAGGGAGCCCAGGGAGAGGAGGAAGCTGCTTTCTTCTGTGCTGCCTGTATCTAGAGCAGAGGAACCCTCTGACTAACTCAATCACTGCCACTCACATCATGAGTCACAAAGGATACTTCCTGCCACCAAGTCTCATCGGCAAGCGTCCAGTAAGTATGAGCATGTGGGTACCAACCCGGGGGCCTGTCTGCCTCCTCAGCATCAGTGTACAAACTGGCCTTGGGAACACACAGCAGAGAGCTTGCAAGGTGCATGCCCTCTGGCTTGGGAAGCTCCTGGACGGAAGAGTAACTACAGAATAGAAGAAAACGTGGAGGAGGAAAAGGCACATCAGAACGGATCACACCTCGCACTGGCACCATCCCCAACTCCATGTTCCAGTAGCACTGTGGCTGTGCTTCTGTCACAAACCGTGTCCCGATGCATGGTGATGCTCTCTACTGTGTCTGATCAGGTGTGGCAGAGCATAATTCAGGGATTTGAGAAAACATCCCTGGTGCCTTGAAACTTCAAACTCCTGCTTTCATTTGAGGTGATCAGAAACTGTCCAAAGGAGCAGCCCACTGCAGTTACCCTGCTTCAGTTATGGTGTATGTGTTACAGAACCACACCAGACCCCAGTAGCAAGCCTCAATAAGGGAACCAGAATCATCATTATAAAATGGGTTCACAAAATTTAAATAGTGTGCCCTCATTTACTCTGACAGCAGCATAAAGCTAAAACTGAGTGCCTTGATCTCAAAAGCCGTGTTCTCTCCACCACACTGCAACACGTAACATGCTTACAACATCTTTTTGAAAGTTAATATGAAAATAAAGAGAATAAAAAGTAAAAATCACCTAAGAGGAACTGCTGCATGGCTTCTTTAAATACTTGAAACATCAACCCACCTAAGACTCAAAGTTAGCAAACGACAAGGAACAGATGACACATTTCCCCAAACCTTCCTTACGTACTGTCCTACTGCTTTCTTAAGGAGAATACTGCAGCCTTAGCCCAGTGGAGAAGGTAAATCTTGCATGTGGCATGGCGAGTCGTGATCTCTTCACAGCCAGCCTGCCCCATTGGCTGTCCAATGTGGACTGCCCCACATGGACGTCTCTGAGGCACTGCGCACACCCTGGGCAGTCAGGACCATCTACAGAGAACATAGCAGTTTCACTCTAGTTAATCAGTAGACAAAGGAAGCTCCATGCTTCCATAAAAGGAGGTGTTTCTTGGCCTAAACCACTGAGACCTTCAAAGGCCAATTCAACAGAAGCTGCCTCTGAAGGTCAGCCGCAAAATGGGTTGGATTTGAATAGGTGGGCAGAAGAAGGAGTGGCCACTGCAGCACTCTGATGAGTGAAATTCTAAGACAGGACAACAGATTAGCACCTCCCTGACTTCTCTACAAATTCAGTTGCTGGGAAGTCTCTTTCTCAGGACTGTGGGTTAAGATGGGCCTGTGTCCATCTCCTGCTAGGAAGAGAGACAGTGCAGCAGGGAAGGTGTTGCTGGAAATGCAAGAGCAAACACTTCCCTGTTCTTTTTCTCACTGGCCCTCACAGCTGGGTCTGTGAAAGGCCCAGAAGCCCATAGCCTGAGCCTCCTGTGCAGCCCTCAGGTCATCTGGGGACAGGGCAGTGGGATCCTAACAGCTCTGCTGCAGCGGAGCAAAGTGCAGTGGAGTTGGGGGAAAGGGACTTAGGAACAAGGGAGTGAATTGGCTGGGCAGCTCTCTGTGTGTTCAGGGCACTCACAGCAGGGCAGTACAGAATCTGGGATCTGGGTTTTGGACACTCCCAGTGACATTCCACCCTGAAACCATGATAGCACAGCAAAACAGGCAACAACCATGTTAGTGACCCTGCTCACTTCTGTTCCTCTGCCAGCCTTCATATCCATGTTACCTCAGAGGACAGCACAGCTCTAAGGGGACCTGCAATCTCAGCGGCTGTGCTCTAACTGAAGTAACCACCAGTGCTCCCTCATGGGCTCTGGATCTCCACCTTCCTCCAGCAGCAAGGGGCTAGTGCTGCTCCTTGAGCAGCATGCTGATCCTCTTCCCACTCCATCCCAGATCTCTCCAGAGCCAAACCTTACTCATCCCTTCAGAGTCAGGTAAATGGCAGATCTTCCACAAAGCCATCCCTAATGTGACGCTGTAGTTCGATTTCTCTGACCTCTGATGACAACAGAAGTTTCTGTTCCTTTTTCTACATATTCATTGATTTATCACCTTATATTTCAGCTATATATATATGTATACATGTATATCTTAAATTTAAGACTTAAATCTTGAATCTTAGTATGCATATAAAAGAAGGAATACCTTCATTGCAGAGATTATATCTGGGTTATCTTCACATCTTTTAGATCTCTTGGACTTAATTAACATTAAACGATGTAACAAGGCAGGGGAGCCCCTGAACTGGCAACTGCATGCACTGCAGCCTGGTGTGCCCCCACGGGTGCTGGTGGCTGGTGTGTGCTCACTGAGCACCACGTAATCCAGAGCCCCAAGTAAAAAGGGGGGTGGGGAACAAGTCTGGAAGTGAGAGCACCAGTAAATGCTGAAGAATTACACTTCCAAATTGCTGTAACTCATGGAAGCCTCAAAGTATTCCAAGACATTCTTTCAGGGAATTGATTTCTCAGCTGTCTCAAAGAGATTCTGTAGCCTCTGATGAGCAGGCTGACAAGCCCTGGCCCTTCAGCTGGCCTGAAAGAGCATAGGCTCTTCTTGAATCCAGAATAGTCTCCTTCTGCACCCTGAGTTCCCCAGATAGGCAGGAGAATGATTTAAGACAAGATTCTCTTCCAAATAGCACCGGCTTCACCTGATAAATTTCTTACCTTTCTGGCCTTGATGTGAACCTAAAAATTTAGTCTTGGATCAAGAGACAGTGACATGGTCTGGCATTAAAACATCTGCAAAATGCTCAGAGAGCCATTGTGACCACAAACCTCATACACCAATACTTAGAAATGACATTCTGGCAGAGTGCACTGCATAAGCGCAGAAATGTCATTTTGTCATACTTTGCCAAGCCTCACAGCCGCACAGCAGTGACTTGAACATTCCAAACCATTCATTTAAAACAATGTTAATCTCTTAATAAATTGGATCCCAATATGCTTTTGAACCAATCCCAAATGGTGAAGTTCTTGGGATAATGGCAAACTAACTTTCTCATCACTTTCATCTCCCAAATAAGGCACATTTTCCATATTTACAAAATTGAAAGGGAGGAGGAGAGACCAAGATAAGAAACATCCAGAAGTTAAGAGAAGCTGGGCCAGGTAGGGTGGGACCAACCAGCAGATGGCGATGGTGGCACAAAGACCTCTTGTTGGTCTAGAGCAGAGCAGGCTGCCCCTCCAGCCCTCTGCACTGTTAGGCAGAAAAGCACGAGGAAGGGAGCTCGCCTAGGAGGTCCGCTATGCCCAGGCTGCGCATCATATTCTTCCCCTAAGTCTCCAGATGAGGCGGTCAGTTTCCAAAGCACCAGTTGCAGGTCAGGCTGACCATATCTTCACCCCAGTTTTATCGCTTACTGCAAGTGTGATCTTGGGCAAGTGTCCATCAATTAAAAAAAAAAACCTACTCACTGGTCACTATGAAGAATAAATGAGAAATGCACACAAAATGCAGTCCCTGGCACATAATAAACTTTAAACAAATGCCACATGCTATCAGTGCTATCACTGGCAATGAGTAACAACAAATCAGTCAATAATACCATTACAGCTGCTCTAAGCTTACGCAGTTATTAAACGATGAGACCAGGACTTGAACTTGAGTTTGTGCAATTCCAGTGAGAAGCCCTTAAAAATTCTATACTTCAGGAATGAGATAACAGACAAGAATTGGGTTTGACTTTTAACAGGATGATTAAAAATCTCAAAAAAGATTTTAGAAGTTTTCTAACATTATAGCTTTATAATCCCAAGCTACAAACATCTTGTAGAAAGTGGAGACAGCAGGCAGGAAGGACACCTGCTTTAAAACGTGTTTTACAAGAATGTTTATAGCAGTGCTATTCATAATAGCCGAAAACAGGAAGCAATCTGGATGTCCATAGATTTAGCTACCGGGCAGGTAAATAAATCACAGTGCACTGATAAATGGAATACTACATGCCAACAAGAACAAATCAGTGGAAACTATAAGCAATGACATGTCTGAATCTCACAAATACAATACTGAACCAAAGAAGCCAGACCGAGCACTTACTAGACAGTCCCATGATCAGAATAATCCAAAGCGAGCAACTCCTCCACCTTGGTATTACATGTCAGCGTCAGCTTATTTGGGAGCAGGCACAAATGGGTGCTCCCAGGGCCTGGTACTGTGTTTCCTAACACAGGCTCTGGTAAGGTGAGTGTGTGCATTCTGAAAATTCGTCCATGGGTACTTTTCTGGTATGTTCTCTTTTCAGTAGACAAGTTACAACCAAACAAATGCAATTCATGTTGATGGTTGGGGGTGTAGCTCAGTGGCAGAGTGCTAGCCTAGCATGTGTGAGTCCTGGGGTTCAATCCTCAGCATTGTCCAAAAATGCTGATCGCTATCTGTATTGGTTTTTTAAAAAATCAGTTCTATTACATAGCTTGTGGCATTACCATCTAACAATCACCATCTGCTGCTACATTGTTACCATTTGGTTATACCATTCATCTGAAACTGTGTTCAGTCCATAAACTGTATTCTGCAACAAGAAGAGCACCAGGTTTGGGGAACAGGTCATCCTGGATGAGAATTCTGCCTAGGTCACTTAACAGTTATGTGATTTTGATTTGAATCTTGATTTTCAGCTAAGATCAGAGCTAACATTCCTATAGTGGTACAGCTGTTC